CCCCGTGCACCACGTAAGTCGTCATATTTTTGTAACGCCCGACGCCGTGGTCCACGGCCGTGCCAGACGACCGATTGCTTCCTCGCCCTCGGCCGTGCCAGCCGCGCGTCGCGCTGTGGGCCTCCGCGAAGAAAAGCGTTGCCTCGTCGATCAGTCTGCGGGCCCGCCCTGCGCCGACGCATCTGTCCGTCTACTTACCGTGCCATCCCTGGGCAAGGTCGTGTTACACCCCGCCGATCTCGTTCAATATTGTCACATGGTTTCGCGGTCACTGCGGATCGGAGCGGTTGGCGTTCGAGTGCGCCCGATGCCCTGAGGGCGTAGGTCGCGCTCTGAGTAGGTTCCGACTCGGACCCCCGCCGACTCAGGATGCCATGGGTTCGGATCGGGGCCAACGTTTCTCCATCCTCGTGTCGCATCATATCAGGACGTCAGGAAGGAGCCCGTCTCTTATGTGATCCTCCAGGTCCCACGTGTTCAGAGTAGTGCATCATCCAAGACGCCTGCGGCGAATCGAAGCCGCCCACCCCCCAGCCTCTCTGGAAACGCTTGCGTGGCTGAACTTCGAACTGCGCTCTGGCCGAGGCCGACAGTGAGATTGATGTTGAGATCGATAGTGAGATCGATTGTGAGATCGCTTGTGAGATCGATCGTGAGATGGGTAGTGCGATCGATGGTGAGATCGATGGGGGGATCGACAGCGATGCCGATCGTCAGATAGATTGTGAGATCGATGGGGGGGGATCGACAGCGATACCGATCGTCAGATCGAGTGTGAGATCGAAAGAGAGACGCGTCGCCCCGCTCCGGCGGGCGGACTTGCGCGTTGCCGCGCAAGTGCGCGGGCCCAGACGTTCCAGACAGCCCGGGCCCCGCCCCGACCAGCAGCAGCGCTATCCAGCGCTATCCGGCGCTATCCAGCGGGGGCACGGGGTAAAAAAGGCTCCCAGGAGGAGGCACGTAATTCAGCCAGGGCGACCTGGAGGAGGATGCGCTGAAGGCGTGGCTCGTGGCCGAGCAGGCGCGCAAGGACCTTGCTGGCGCGACCGACTCCATCCGGCGGGCCTACGAGCAGTCGAGCGGCCAGCAGTTCGCGGAGTGGGACCCGAGGGAGGCACAATATCGAGGATTAGGAGGAGGATGAGGAACAGGCGGTCGGTGAAGTGGAGGATGAGGAGGAGAAGGAGGTGGCGGCAGAGGAGGGAGGGAGGGAGGGTGGGAGGATGAGGGTCGGATGAGGAGGCGGAGGAGAATGATGAGGATCACGAGGATTGGGGGGAGGAGGAGGCGGTGGAGGAGGAGGCGAAGGAGGAGGAGGAGGAGGAGGAGGAGATGACCTGAGCGGAAAGGCCGCCCGCATCCCTCTCCTCCTCCTCCCTCTCCTCCTGCTCCCTCTCCTCTCCCTCTCCTACTCCCTCATCCCCCCCTCTCCTCCTCCATCTCCTACTCCCGCTTCAGGTCAACTGTCTTTCCTTCCGCGCCCTGCCTCCTCCTCCCCCGCCTCCACCTCCTCCACCGCCGCCTTCTCCTCTTCCACCGCCTTCTCCTCCTCCACCTCCTCCTCCTCCTCCTCCCCCTCCATCTCCTTGGCCCCCTCCTCCTCCTCCTCCATCACCGCCGCCGCGCCTCCATCTCCACCTCCATCTCCGCCTCCTCCCCCCGCTCCCCTCGCCCCGCCAGCGACAGGACTTCACCATGCCATCGTTCTCCAGGAACCTCGACGCGTGCCTTGCCGTCGGTGAGGGTGGCGCGCAGGGGCTCCTCGACGGCTTCCCCGTCGCGCGGGCGGTCCGTGACACCCTCGCCGCGCTGGCTGGCACCTTGGAGTCCACGCTGCAGCGCTGGACCACGGGCTTCGAGACGGCGATGTCCGACGTCGACGCCTGGCAGCCAGCCTGGAAGCCTGTGGCCGCCCAGCTGCTCAGCTCGCCGCCCCACCCCATGGCGAAACAGTTGGTGGCCAACAAGCAGTTGAAGAGCTTGGCCGAGATGTGCGGCGACGTCGACAGGCGCCTCGCGATGATCCGCAAGCACCCTGGCGTCTTCCCCGCGGAGTTCACCTCGAAGCTGGAGACGGTGAACCGCGCGGGGATGGTGACGATCTCCCTCGCCTACGTCATTTTCTCCATGAAATGGGCGTTCCCCTTGCTGAAGGGGCCGAAGAAACTCAAGGCTCCCGACGGCGACGTCGACGACGTTGAGGAGAGAGGAGCTTCGAGAAGGACAGGGGGTCACAGGAGTGGATGCGGCGGATGAGGATAAGGATTCGCAGGAGGGAGCTTGAGGTGGATGAGGATTAGGATGCGACGGCGGCGGGTGTGTTCGACATGCGGACACGACGTCGGCGACGTGGCCGCTACAGGCGGCGGCCGAGAAGCTCAGGGCGGAGCTCCAGCAGAAAGGAGTGTGGGCGGAGCTGCCGGCGTGCGTCGCCGCATCCCTGGACGCTGGAGGGCAGGTCCTCGAGGTGGCCCCTGACGAGGCGGCCCCGGCCGCCTTTGGCTGCGCTCCCGCGGCGTCGTCCTCCGCCAGCGGCTCCAAGGGGCCCGCGTAGGGGCTCCAGGGAGCGTCGCTGTGCGATGGCAGTCTCGCCCCAGGAGGAGGAGGAGGAGGTGGACGAGAGGGCGGGGGAGGAGGAGGAGGAGGAGGAGGAGCAGGAGGGGGAGGAGGAGGAGGAGGAGGAGGAGGAGGAGGAGGAGGAGGAGGAGGAGGCGGAGAAGAACGAGGGTGAGGAGAGGAGGCTGAGCACAAGTAGCAGGGCACCGCGGTGAGATGGAGGTGGAGGTGCACAGAGGTGGGTAACAAGGATGGTGACAGGGGTGTAGTCCGCCAGGAGTGCGGTGATCAGCAGTGGGGTGTTCTCTCCCTCTCGTTGTGCTGCTATGCCGTGTAGGGCAGCTGGCGTCGAGCCCCCCGCGTGAAGGTTCAAGGCTGTTCGCCTTCTTGCAGGACACGATGGCCCGAGATGGTCCTTGCGACGTGGTGTCAGAACGCAGGATCGGCGATCGACGCAGCTGAAGTGTATCTTACCGCGGCAGCCTGGCTGCGGTCTTTAGACCAGCGGCAGACGCAGGGTGCGCTGCCGTGGCGGGACGGAAAGGAGCGGCCGCTGAGGTGATGACCGAGGCTGCCGATGAGGAGGCGGAGGCGGGATGAGGGATGAGGGAGGAGGAGGGTGAGGAGGTGGAGGAGGAAGCGATCAGGAGTAGGAGGATGGAGGAGGGAGGGAGGAGGAGGATGCGGTGGAGGAGGAGGAGGTGGAGGAGGAGGGAGGAGGCGGAGGAGCCGCTTCGTCCCGCTAGCTCTCTCTTGTTCCCGTGCCACCGATTCTTGCATTTACGCCAGATCGGAGCTTCTCCATGGGAAGGGATGGGTGTATGGCCTCGCCGCGCTGATTGCCACTTGTTTACTGAGCGTTACGCGGTTATGAGTTTCGATATTTTTGGTAATGTTGATAATATCATGACAATATTTGGTTTACATATAATTAATACAAGGTGTACCGATATTCCAATTGTTGGTTCTAATATTAGGATCGCGTCGTATTATTTGTTGGCAGACTTGTCGTAGTGTATCCCGGAGCCGCTCAAGCCAGGGAGGAGGGGGGTCCAGCACCGATCCAAGAAATCCGCGCGGACCTCCGAAAGTTTCTGTTTATGACACCACGCCCCGGTAGTCTACCTCGGCTGCGGGGTGAACCGTGAGCCGCTTACCTAAGTGGCCTGGCGAAGGGCCCGGGCTTATTCCTTCGGAAGGTGCGCGTAGCGCAGAACGCGCCCTTCTCTTCATGTACTGCGCGCCGTGGGGCAGTGGGCATTGCAGATGGGGGCCTGCATAACGAGGCGCGCCGAACCCCCGTCTGGGCACGATCCGCTCGAGGTGGGTGCCGAGGTGGGCGAAGGGAGGCCTGCCAACTGTGTCGCTAGCCAGTGCCGTAGGTGGAGCGAGTGCCCTGTTGGGCACGCTCAGCTTGGGGGAGGCCGAAGTGAACGGGGTGGCGGCATGCGGACTCCGTGGCCAGGGCCGCAAGCGAAGCCTCCTGTGGGGCACGACGCGTGCGAGGGGCGGCCCGAAATGGGCGCGGTGGCGGCATGCGGGCTGTGCCGCTGGGGTCGTAGGTGGATCTCCTTGTGCGGCCTGCTGAGAGGCACGCAGCGTGTGTGCGGGGTTTGCAGTCCATGGCGTACCTTGTCCTGTGCAAGATCTTCGGCACCGCCTGTTTTCTGAGCCCTCCGGCCGCCTGAGGCCCCGCCCGCCCGCGCCCTGTCTCCCCAATTAGGGCTACCCGCGTCCCGTTTAGCTCTTGACCGGAAGGGGCCCGATCCCGACCCGCAGACCAAAAAGTGTGCGGGGTTTGCCAAAAGGGGCTGGGGTGCGGCATGCGGACCGTCGCGGGGGCCGAAGGCGGAGCTCCCTTTGGGGCACATGCACATTGCTCATGTCTAATTGTTCGAATTTTTTTTGACTTCTGGGGGGGCCAAGATCCTTTCATTTCTAATTGTTCTATCCTGGGCCTCTTCCTGGCTGCTGGGGGGCCAGGAACAATTAGAAACGAGCACAATTAGAAATGAACACGATTAGAAATGAACGACGTGTAACGTGCGAGGGGTGCCAACATTTTTCTGGATGGAGTGCAGCTCGTTCTCGAAGCGGGGCCGCTGCGGGGCACTGCTGCAGACTTCACGGCCTGGCCCTGCCGAATTTCGCACCTGGCTCGAAGGGTTGGAGGCAATTTCTTTCAGAGCAGAGCTTCTGGCTGAACTGCATGTCTATGGGGCACTCGTCTTTCAAGCGAGCACTTCGCGCGTCCGTTCTGCCATGAGTGCTTTTTTACCCACTGAGCCATAACGCGCGTTGTGCCCCCTCCCCCCCTTCCCCACCCCCTCCCGCCCCCATAACGTAACGCTCCCCCCCTAGTGCGTCCCTCGCAGTGCCGCAGTGCGTCCAGCACCACAGTCTGGGGGGGAAGGGGGGGCGCTACGTTGTACCTCCTCCCGTCCCCTCTCCCCCCCGCCTCTCCCCCCCATGACGCCCGTTGTGGCCGCGAGTGCAAAACTGCACTCCATTTTGGCTTAAGGCGACTAGCTCAGGCTCACGTTCTACGCCCACCGGCTCAGCTGTCACGTTCCATCCAGACATACTTCTTACCAAGGGCGCCCTCGAGGGCGCGAAGTTATTCGCGCTTCGCGCTTCGCGGTTCGGCTCCGACTCCTCCTCACCCTCCTCTTCTCCCCTGGGAGGCGGCGCGAGAGCGCGAAGTTATTCGCACTTCGCGCTTCGCGCAGCGCGAAGCGCGAAGTTGGGAGCCCTTGCTTACCATGGCACCCAGGGGCCTCTTCTTGCTTGCCGTGCTGGCGCTGCAGGCATGGGGCGCGCTCGCGCGTGCCCAGCTGAAGCCCGCCTCGAGGGCGGGTGACGTGCTCCAGCGAGGCTCGGCGCCGGCGGGCCCGCAGCGGAACATCTCGGAGGACCAATGAGGCACATACCTGATTTCTCGAGGGTCGCCGCGGACTTTTTGTTGGATCGGCGCTGGGCCCCCCTGGCTGCGCCTCTGTCGCCGATCCTGGCGCGCCAGGAAGGGCGGTTCAGCGCGTATGTAAGAAATCCGCGCGCACCTCCTAGAATGAAGTCGGGCACGTCCCTCTACAGGAGGAATAATCAAAAGCTGTAAAAGATAGTCTGGGGACGATTCTTACACTACACTACTTTTGACCATCGTTTAGAATTTGTTCGACTATCTTCTAATCTTTCCTCCAGGATCCGCCTGTAGGAGGACATGCCCGACCTAATCCTAGAAGTCATAGTTATGCCGCCATTCGTTCTTCTAACGTCCGGAGGAAGGCACCAGAACACCAGCCGACGGCGCCAGCCTCCTCGCTGCTGCAGCGCGTGCTGGGGCGCCAGGCTGCCGCCAGGGCGGAGAGGGCCGCCGGCGCGCGCGGGGGCGCCGCCCTGGAGGACGCGGGCTCGCTGATGCAGACCGTGGTGGAGACCAAGGGGCTGGACATCGAGGAGCAGAAACGACGCCTGCATAAGCACCATTCCTTCTCGGCGGCCCGCGCGGATTTGTCGGATCGGCGCCGGGCCACCCCGGCGGCGCCTCCGGCGCCGCCCCTGGCGCGGTTCGCGCAGCGCCGGGGAGGGGCGTCCGCTGCCGATCCATGAGATCCGCGCGGACCTCAGAGACGGTGTGTTTGTGCTGTTTTCTGCTCCTTCACTTCCGCAAGCGCCGCCCGCGCGACGAGTTCTGATGCGGCCCGCGCGGTCGCTCCCAGCAGCGTGGAAACGGCACAGCAGCCTCTCATGCCAGAAACAAAAGAGAGCGCCTGGCGCAGTCGAAGGGGCACTTGCAGCGGCTTTTGAGGGGTGGGGGGACTTGGGGCGGGGTGGTGTATTGCAGCACCGTTGATGCATCCTGGGCTTACTCTGGCCTCCCCCCTCCCTTCTCCCCGTCGTCCTCCGCCTCCGTCCCTCCCTTCCTCACTTCCTCCCTCCGTCCCCTTCCCAAGAAGGTCAGATTTGTTGTTGTTGTTGCTGTTGTTTGTTGAAGTTGAATTTTCAGTTCTAAAGGATAATTGCTTTTGAGTTGATCCCTCCCCTTCGGTAACCATTGTATTTTTCAACTGGGTGCTTCTCTTGGTGTTCGCACCCAGTTTTTTTCAAGGGAAAGTGAGGTGTCGCCAAACTTTGCCCCTAGCCCCCGGTTTCCAACTCTAACGGCTCCCGCTTGATGCGTCCTCACAATTTATTCCCATATCGCGCTCTCGCCCGGGGCTTCCTCGCCATTTAAACAGACATCGCGCTCTCGCGTGCGACTTCCTCGCAATTTATTCCGACGACGCGCCATCGACACTCAGGATTCACGCTCTCGCTGTCACGATTTCTTTGGGAATCGCTCTATCGCGGGAGACTTCCCCGCGATTCATGAAGGACGCACGCTTCAGCATCCCCCCTGCCCCTTGTCCCTTCCTTGCGTCCGTTCTCTCTTCCCCTGCCTTAGGGGCTGCACGGAATACACACTGCAGGTAAGAAAGGTATATCTCTAAGGGGGTACGATCGAAGACGAAGAGGGCGGGTGTCGAGGGTTTAGGATATATGTGTTGGATGGCAGACGAGCAGATCAGAGTTAACAGTCTTACAATGATTGTTGTTTTTGCTGTTTTTGCTGTTGTTGCTGTTGTTGCTGTTGCTGCTGCTATGGCTGTTGTTGTTGAACATTATTAATTCTAAAGAATAATTATTGTTGGGCCCCCTGGTGCGCGCCCCCCCCGCCGCGCCTAGGCCGCAGCCACGTTTTCATCATTTTCGTGAGGAAGCCTCAGGTAAAACGATGTGATCCAGATCCGGTTGTTTTGTTGTAATCCGTTTTCCCTTGCAAAAAACACTATAAAATGACATTTCTTGTTCTAATATAATCAAATTTCAAGAATCCCTTGCAAAAAATAAGGTAAAGTGGACATTCGCGCGCGCAAGACGAAATCCTTCCAAAAGCTTAGTGTTCGGAGCGATTTTAACATAAAAACATCAAAAAACCAATGGTTTTTCAACAAAAAAATGTCAAAATCTCATCCCGCGCGCTCTTGCGGATTCGTAGGAAACCCAACACTTTTTAAACATTTCTGTCAAACGGGCTTTTGCGAGCAACTTTTTCGAACTTCTGCGACAACGGTTGCGCACCTGCCAGGGCCATCATCCCTGTCAAATAATACCATCCGCGCATGTGCCCAGCATGGCACAATTGCACCATGCTGGGCACATGCGCGCCCCGAATAAGTGACCAAGTTCTGTGGGTGTGTACCCCACGCCAGTGTAGTAGCCACGGTCGTCCGCACGCCACGAAGTGAAGTGTCCCAACGTCATAGGGCGGGAAGCTGGGTTTGGGTGGTCGCGAAGAGTCGTTTGGATATTTGGTAGAGCTTGTAATGCCCCCCCACGAAGTGGGGGTATTGCCTGGTGTCGTATGAAAACCCTGGCACTGGGGAGAACACCACGCGTTCGGGTAAAATGATTGTTGTTGTTGTTGTTGTTGTTGTTGTTGAATTTTCATGTCTGAAGAATAATTATTGTTGATCCCCCCCACCGGTGCATACTGCTTTTTCTCAACCAAAGTGTGCCCCTCGACGCTCGCACCCTGTTTTTTGACAGGGAAAGTCTTGATGCTCAAACTGGGCCCCTGGCCCCCGGGTTACAACAACAACGGCTCCCGCTTGAGACTTCCTTACAATTTAGCCAGGACCCCCGCTCCCGCCCGAGACTTCCTCGCATTTTATTCAGGAATCGCGCTGTCGCTTGGGACTTCCGTACAATGTATTCAGGAATCGCTCTCCCGGCGCTCTGGAGTCGCGCTCTCGCTGGAGACTTGCTTGCAACTTACTGGAGAATGGCCCTGCGTTGGAATTTCTTGCAATTTGCCCAAGCGCCGCGCTCCGACACCCAGGCACCCAGGAGTCGCGCCCGTTGTGGCCCCATGTGCATGCCCTTCGTGGCCCCGCTGTCGCCATTTGTGTCCCCCTCACTGTCCTACGTGGCCCAGTTGCTACCCTCAGTGGCCCCATAGTTGCCTTCTGTGGCCCCGCATTATCTGCACTTCGTGGCCCCCGCTCGTTCGCGCTCTTCGTGGCCCCATACGCATTCCCTTCGTGTCCCCGCTGTCGCCCTTCGTGGCCTACTTCGTGCCCTTCGTGGCCCTGCTGTCGTTCTCTCTCGCTCTCGCTTTCGCTCGTCGTCGCCGTCGTCGTCGTCGTCGCCGTCGTCTTCGACGTCGTCGTCGTCGTCGTCGTCGTCGTCGTCGTCGTCGTCGTCGTGGTCGGTCCCCTGTCCGTCCCTCTTGGGGTCGGGTCGACGGTCGCGGCCGCCCCGCCGATCAGCGCTGCCGCTGGCCAGGCCGACGGTCCGCGGCCGCCCCGCCGCTTGCCGGGGCTGGGCCTGCAGGGAAGAAAGGTATACCCCCCAAAAGGGGCTCGATCGAAGACGAAGAGGGTGGGTATCGAGGGTTTGGGAAATACGCGTTATTGGACACTCGACCATACAAGGGTGAACAGTCTTAAACTTATTGTTGTTGTGGCTGTTGTTATTGTTGCTATTGCTGTTGTTGTTGTTGTTGTTGTTGTTGTTGTTGTTGTTGTTGTTGTTGTTGTTGTTGTTGTTGTTCGTCTTATTCTTCGTGCAGGGTATCTCCCGACCTACTCACCGGGGCCAGCTTTGCATCCCGAGTCGTTCTGCGACCGGGGCCCGTCGAGGGCCTCCTCCTCCTCACCTTCCCGCTCACGACGGACCATCCACAGGCCGTGGAGGTGCTCGGGACGTGGGGTCCCGACCACCCTCTCTGGGCCTGCTTGGTGGAGTCATCGTCCCAGCAGTGGGGAAGCTGGCAATTGTCACCGCCGCGTGTCTTCTTTGGGGATCGCCTCCGGCTCCTGTCCAAGGCGTACCTTTTCCTGTGCAAGTTCTTCGGCACCGCCTGCACCCCGCACCCTCTGGCCGCCTGAGGCCCCGCCCGCCCGCGCCCTGTCTCCCCAATTAGGGCTTCGCGCGCCCCGCCTAGTTCTTAACCGGAAGAGGCCCGCTCCCGACCCGCCGACCAAAAAAATGTTTTCTTTTTGGGGGAGAAACAAAAGCACAGGCCGTGGACGTGTCTGCGGGGTGGACAACAGCACCGCTGCCCAGGACACCGAGGCCGCCAGCGGCGCACCCGCGGCCGCCCCGCGCCGCACCCTCGGGCGGCGCCCTTCGTGCGCAGGGTGGCTCGCGCCGCGGAGCTGCGCCCGTCTGGCGCAGAAACTGCACGGGCCGACGGCGCCGACGACGGCCTCCGGGGGAGGGGCCTCGTGTCAGGAGGGGAACACAAACGCACAGGCACACACAAGTCGTCGACTCCCAGGAAAGTATGGGGGAATATGTGGGAAGTGGGGGGGAAGGCGAAACTCCCCGACATGTGGAAAGATATGGGGAATCCGGTTATTTGTACGTTATTGTTTTATGTCGGGCGTGTCCCCCTACAGGGGGATGTTCGACGAAATTTACAAAATACCCCAAACATACCCCCCAAAGGTAAAAACCTATTAAAGCATAGCAGACTATTTTTGGATTATTTTTTGATTATTTTGGGGGTATTTTTAAATTTTTTCGTCGAAAATCCCCCTGTAGGGGGACAGGCCCGACTTAAGCGTAGTTATTTGTATCCCTGGGCCCCTGCATCACTGGAGGACACCTGCGCCGGGCCCGAGCAGGTGCGGCGCCGATGCGCCGCACGCGGGCTCGCAGTGTTGCGGTCTCGTTCGCTGTATGTCTGATGCCCCGTGAGCGGTGCGTGCTAGGGGTGTGCTGGTCGCCTCTCGACGACCTCGCGCGCGTGGTCGGAGGTCCCCATCGAGGAGGAGGAGGAGGAGGAGGAGGAGGAGGAGGAGGAGGAGGAGGAGGGGGGAGGAGGAGGAGGGGGAGGGAGGAGGAGGAGGGAGGAGGAGGAAGGAGGAGGAGGAGGAGGGGGCCTCTGTCGGGCCTCCTGGGTGCTCATGGGTTTTGTAGCCCTGTGCTCCTCCTCCTCCTCCTCCTCCTCCTCCTCCTGTTCCTCCTCCTCCTGAGTTGCAGCGTGAAGTCCTGAAAACAGGCGCGCCGAAGCTCCCAATCGAGACAGGGTTCTCTGGCTTCGGCCAAGCCGGACAGCAGTAACCGGGGGGAGACCTGCCCCTGCCAGTGCAGCGATGACCCTCCTGCCCCAGTCGCCAGCGCACCCTACGAAACCCCAGCCCCTGCAGGGGGCGGATGCCAGCAGGGACCCTGCGGCATGGGGAAGCTGGCCGCCCCGGCGTGCGCAGCTCTCCGCACGAGCGGGTGGGGCAGGCCAGGCTGTTGACATCCTTGTCTCTCCCTCTCCCGCCCTTCCTCCCTCCCTCCTCGGTCCGCGGCCCAAGGCGCCAGAGCCGCTTCGGGTCTGGTGCCCACTGAGGCCAGGCTTAAGTCGGGCGAAGGCCCCGAGCCCGCCGCGAGGGGCGCGGGCTCCTCCGGGACTCATCCGCCCCCGCCCGGGCAAGGGCGACAGGCCGCCCTGGTTCCCGCGACGGGGGCGCGCCCCCACTGGCCCTTCCTGCCCCGCCCCGCCGAGGAGGAGGAGGAGGAGGAGGAGGAGGAGGAGGAGGAGGAGGAGGAGGAGGAGGAGGAGGAGGAGGATGAGGAGGCGGAGGAGGAGGAGGAGGAGGAGGAGGAGGAGGATGATGAGGAGGATCCTGCCCTCCGCCCGTGCCGCTCGTCCTCCTCCTCCCCATCCACTCCTCCTCCTCCCTCCTCCTCCTCCTCCCCCTCTTGCTCCTCCTCCTCCTGCTCCTGCTCCTGCTCCTCCTCCTCCTCCTCCTTCCTCCTCCTCCTCCTCCTCCTCCTCCCCCCTCCCACCCGTTCCGCTCGTGCCGCCGCGGGGCCCGCGGCCAGGGAGCGCATGGCCCGCAGCCGGCTCGT